TATTGTCAACATTCTGGAGACACCTGTACCACCACAACTGCTCGCTTGATATATAATTGGAGACTCTGCCATGACCTGGTAAGTTGGACACACCTTGCTGAATGTTTTGTTCGCAGTAGTCATGAAGGCTTCTCTATCTTTTGGTTACCCCGTGAAGACCCCGTGACCGCCCCGTGATTACCCCAGCTCGAGCGAATCCATCCGGGCAGGGACAAGCATACGTATGTGCGGCAAGATATGTAAGGACACTTTTATTTCTTTAAGATCACAAAAGCAACCTGTTGGTCATCAGATCCAGCTTAGGGTGGGACAGCAAACTTGGGAGCCTTTAAACCCAACCTGCAGCGCAGTTGTGTAATAAGTGGCAAGTGCAGTGCGACCCATGGCGCTACCATGCACCAGGTAAGGTATTGAGTCCCTATCGTATAGTGGTTAGTACATCACGTTGTGGCCGTGAAGACCCCGTCTCGAATCCGGGTAGGGACATATTAAACTGCTTCTTATGCTGAAAGCACCTGACCTGACCTGATGGTCTGAATGTCGCTCAGCTTCCAGCTGTGACCATGGGGCCTGCGTGCTGGAGCACACCAGTGGAAGGAATGTTAAGATTCAGAATGCCATGCAGGGGCAACGAAATCTTGAAACCTTATTTACAAAGCTTCCACGTACAGCTGCATGCATGCAGCAGGTAAGGTTAGCCTCTTGCGTGCTGCGGCCCAGGCAGCAGGGCAGGGTGCTGGTATGTATGGGAGGAACGTAGGATCTTAGGATTCCAGCTCCAAGTATATATGAGGGTTTCACACAAATTATTGTGCGCCCAGTGCATGCAGTCCTCTCAGCACTTCCATTTGTTCCTGCCAGTATTTCATCAACGTCCTCGTACGTCACTGTCTCCATGCTTCAAATCTTCTCATTATTGTCAACATTCTGGAGACACCTGTACCACCACAACTGCTCGCTTGATATATAATTGGAGACTCTGCCATGACCTGGTAAGTTGGACACACCTTGCTGAATGTTTTGTTCGCAGTAGTCATGAAGGCTTCTCTATCTTTTGGTTACCCCGTGAAGACCCCGTGACCGCCCCGTGATTACCCCAGCTCGAGCGAATCCATCCGGGCAGGGACAAGCATACGTATGTGCGGCAAGATATGTAAGGACACTTTTATTTCTTTAAGATCACAAAAGCAACCTGTTGGTCATCAGATCCAGCTTAGGGTGGGACAGCAAACTTGGGAGCCTTTAAACCCAACCTGCAGCGCAGTTGTGTAAGTGGCAAGTGCAGTTCGACCCATGGCGCTACCATGCACCAGGTTAGGTATTGAGTCCCTATCGTATAGTGGTTAGTACATCACGTTGTGGCCGTGAAGACCCCGGCTCGAATCCGGGTAGGGACATATTAAACTGCTTCTGATGCTGAAAGCACCTGACCTGACCTGATGGTCTGAATGTCGCTCAGCTTCCAGCTGTGACCATGGGGCCTGCGTGCTGGAGCACACCAGTGGAAGGAATGTTAAGATTCAGAATGCCATGCAGGGGCAACGAAATCTTGAAACCTTATTTACAAAGCTTCCACGTACAGCTGCATGCATGCAGCAGGTAAGGTTAGCCTCTTGCGTGCTGCGGCCCAGGCAGCAGGGCAGGGTGCTGGTATGTATGGGAGGAACGTAGGATCTTAGGATTCCAGCTCCAAGTATATATGAGGGTTTCACACAAATTATTGTGCGCCCAGTGCATGCAGTCCTCTCAGCACTTCCATTTGTTCCTGCCAGTATTTCATCAACGTCCTCGTACGTCACTGTCTCCATGCTTCAAATCTTCTCATTATTGTCAACATTCTGGAGACACCTGTACCACCACAACTGCTCGCTTGATATATAATTGGAGACTCTGCCATGACCTGGTAAGTTGGACACACCTTGCTGAATGTTTTGTTCGCAGTAGTCATGAAGGCTTCTCTATCTTTTGGTTACCCCGTGAAGACCCCGTGACCGCCCCGTGATTACCCCAGCTCGAGCGAATCCATCCGGGCAGGGACAAGCATACGTATGTGCGGCAAGATATGTAAGGACACTTTTATTTCTTTAAGATCACAAAAGCAACCTGTTGGTCATCAGATCCAGCTTAGGGTGGGACAGCAAACTTGGGAGCCTTTAAACCCAACCTGCAGCGCAGTTGTGTAAGTGGCAAGTGCAGTTCGACCCATGGCGCTACCATGCACCAGGTTAGGTATTGAGTCCCTATCGTATAGTGGTTAGTACATCACGTTGTGGCCGTGAAGACCCCGGCTCGAATCCGGGTAGGGACATATTAAACTGCTTCTGATGCTGAAAGCACCTGACCTGACCTGATGGTCTGAATGTCGCTCAGCTTCCAGCTGTGACCATGGGGCCTGCGTGCTGGAGCACACCAGTGGAAGGAATGTTAAGATTCAGAATGCCATGCAGGGGCAACGAAATCTTGAAACCTTATTTACAAAGCTTCCACGTACAGCTGCATGCATGCAGCAGGTAAGGTTAGCCTCTTGCGTGCTGCGGCCCAGGCAGCAGGGCAGGGTGCTGGTATGTATGGGAGGAACGTAGGATCTTAGGATTCCAGCTCCAAGTATATATGAGGGTTTCACACAAATTATTGTGCGCCCAGTGCATGCAGTCCTCTCAGCACTTCCATTTGTTCCTGCCAGTATTTCATCAACGTCCTCGTACGTCACTGTCTCCATGCTTCAAATCTTCTCATTATTGTCAACATTCTGGAGACACCTGTACCACCACAACTGCTCGCTTGATATATAATTGGAGACTCTGCCATGACCTGGTAAGTTGGACACACCTTGCTGAATGTTTTGTTCGCAGTAGTCATGAAGGCTTCTCTATCTTTTGGTTACCCCGTGAAGACCCCGTGACCGCCCCGTGATTACCCCAGCTCGAGCGAATCCATCCGGGCAGGGACAAGCATACGTATGTGCGGCAAGATATGTAAGGACACTTTTATTTCTTTAAGATCACAAAAGCAACCTGTTGGTCATCAGATCCAGCTTAGGGTGGGACAGCAAACTTGGGAGCCTTTAAACCCAACCTGCAGCGCAGTTGTGTAAGTGGCAAGTGCAGTTCGACCCATGGCGCTACCATGCACCAGGTTAGGTATTGAGTCCCTATCGTATAGTGGTTAGTACATCACGTTGTGGCCGTGAAGACCCCGGCTCGAATCCGGGTAGGGACATATTAAACTGCTTCTGATGCTGAAAGCACCTGACCTGACCTGATGGTCTGAATGTCGCTCAGCTTCCAGCTGTGACCATGGGGCCTGCGTGCTGGAGCACACCAGTGGAAGGAATGTTAAGATTCAGAATGCCATGCAGGGGCAACGAAATCTTGAAACCTTATTTACAAAGCTTCCACGTACAGCTGCATGCATGCAGCAGGTAAGGTTAGCCTCTTGCGTGCTGCGGCCCAGGCAGCAGGGCAGGGTGCTGGTATGTATGGGAGGAACGTAGGATCTTAGGATTCCAGCTCCAAGTATATATGAGGGTTTCACACAAATTATTGTGCGCCCAGTGCATGCAGTCCTCTCAGCACTTCCATTTGTTCCTGCCAGTATTTCATCAACGTCCTCGTACGTCACTGTCTCCATGCTTCAAATCTTCTCATTATTGTCAACATTCTGGAGACACCTGTACCACCACAACTGCTCGCTTGATATATAATTGGAGACTCTGCCATGACCTGGTAAGTTGGACACACCTTGCTGAATGTTTTGTTCGCAGTAGTCATGAAGGCTTCTCTATCTTTTGGTTACCCCGTGAAGACCCCGTGACCGCCCCGTGATTACCCCAGCTCGAGCGAATCCATCCGGGCAGGGACAAGCATACGTATGTGCGGCAAGATATGTAAGGACACTTTTATTTCTTTAAGATCACAAAAGCAACCTGTTGGTCATCAGATCCAGCTTATCAGATCCAGCTTAGGGTGGGACAGCAAACTTGGGAGCCATTAAACCCAACCTGCAGCGCAGTTGTGTAAGTGGCAAGTGCAGTGCGACCCATGGGGCTACCATGCACCAGGAAAGGTATTGAGTCCCTATCGTATAGTGGTTAGTACATCACGTTGTGGCCGTGAAGACCCCGGCTCGAATCCGGGTAGGGACATATTGAACTGCTTCTGATGATGCTGAAAGCACCTGACCTGACCTGATGGTCTGAATGTCGCTCAGCTTCCAGCTGTGACCATGGGGCCTGCGTGCTGGAGCACACCAGTGGAAGGAATGTTAAGATTCAGAATGCCATGCAGGGGCAACGAAATCTTGAAACCTTATTTACAAAGCTTCCACGTACAGCTGCATGCATGCAGCAGGTAAGGTTAGCCTCTTGCGTGCTGCGGCCCAGGCAGCAGGGCAGGGTGCTGGTATGTATGGGAGGAACGTAGGATCTTAGGATTCCAGCTCCAAGTATATATGAGGGTTTCACACAAATTATTGTGCGCCCAGTGCATGCAGTCCTCTCAGCACTTCCATTTGTTCCTGCCAGTATTTCATCAACGTCCTCGTACGTCACTGTCTCCATGCTTCAAATCTTCTCATTATTGTCAACATTCTGGAGACACCTGTACCACCACAACTGCTCGCTTGATATATAATTGGAGACTCTGCCATGACCTGGTAAGTTGGACACACCTTGCTGAATGTTTTGTTCGCAGTAGTCATGAAGGCTTCTCTATCTTTTGGTTACCCCGTGAAGACCCCGTGACCGCCCCGTGATTACCCCAGCTCGAGCGAATCCATCCGGGCAGGGACAAGCATACGTATGTGCGGCAAGATATGTAAGGACACTTTTATTTCTTTAAGATCACAAAAGCAACCTGTTGGTCATCAGATCCAGCTTATCAGATCCAGCTTAGGGTGGGACAGCAAACTTGGGAGCCATTAAACCCAACCTGCAGCGCAGTTGTGTAAGTGGCAAGTGCAGTGCGACCCATGGGGCTACCATGCACCAGGAAAGGTATTGAGTCCCTATCGTATAGTGGTTAGTACATCACGTTGTGGCCGTGAAGACCCCGGCTCGAATCCGGGTAGGGACATATTAAACTGCTTCTGATGCTGAAAGCACTTGACCTGATGGTCGGAATGATCTTGATGGATGACAATGGAATTGTGAAACCATCTGCGGATGCAGCCGATGTGCAGCACCCCGGCACGGGCGTCGTATGAAACGCCCGAGAGGCTTTACAGCACAACTGCACAATTTCTTCTTCTCCACAGCTACCGATGCAGCAGCCGATGATATGCCCATGACATCTATACCATACGATCAACCATATTAGAAAGCTTTTTTTGCGAAATTAGATATGCAGGACACGTGGCATCGACGCTCCCGGACGACAGCTAGCACCGGTCACCTGGACGAACAGCATATCCCCCCCACAGGGAGGGCAGCACGCTAAGGCGGGGCTTCATGCCAAAGGGCGTGTGTGTACGGGGGGGCCTTTCGCTCCCCCCCCGACAAACGAACAATTGCATTGCTTGGGTGTCGGCGGGCACCCAATGCAGCATTAGGATCTTCAAAGGTTTTGCCATTCGTTGGAGAAGCAATTAACGTCCAAACCCACGTGCATCGATCCTGTGGAAGACAGATTAGGCCACAGCAAGCAAGCGCAATTGTACGGCAGGCCGCGGGGAGCCGTACCGTACGGTGTCATCAGACCGCCACGGCCACGCACTGGTTTATTCCACCGAGCAGCAGGCGGGCAACGACACGTGCGCCGCGTTGGTAGCACACACCGCAGCCTGAGCCCTCTACGTCTGATGGTTCCGTCATACCGGTGATGAAAGGGCAACCACAAGGCAGCCCCTTACGCCCCCACCACCACTACTGCCACCACTGCCGTCATTGCCACCGTGGCAGATAAGGACCTAAGTAACACCTCCGTGTCACTTTACCTAACCTAAAGCCTAAAACCCAACCCCAAACCGCGTTTGAACTGAACCTAGTGTGTGCGACTAAGAGAATGCGTGCGACAGTCACTCGCCGCCTTAACCCTAACTATGCAAGAGCCGAACATTCTGCCCGTCGGCCAATCCAGCACTCCGGACCTGGGCCCAATCCCCCCCCCCGGGCCCCCCCCCACCACCACGGGCTCGGGCCTATACGTGGATAACCCCCATCACCACGGCAGCTCAACCTACATCAACCTCCCTTCCCCAAACTCCCGCACCGGGCCACCCTCCCATCCGCCCGCTGCTCCACCACCCGGCTCTCCCGCACCAAACCCGGCACACACACACACCCCAGCCCCCCCTAACTCTCCGGCCCCTTTGCCACGTCACCTCATGAATGCAGACCCGTTCCGCCTCCCCCTCGCACCCCTGCCCCTCCCATGCCGCCCCCAAACCCTCCACCTCCCATGCCTCCCCACCCCATTCCGCCGCCCCCTACTCCTACCCCCAACCCCACCTCCCCAACCAGCGCCATCTGGGGCCCCACCGCCACGCAATAAGTGAGCAGCCCCAGCACCAGCGCGCAGAAGAACGCCGTCAGCTGGTCGGGCCGGTAGTCGTCCTGACTGGCGAAGCCCGCCACCCACACCGCCACACAAGACCAGGTGAAGGCCAGTCCAAACACCACGTCACGCAACTTGACCAGCATCAGCAGGGCGAGCGCGGTGGAGAAGGCCAGGGACACGCAGCCGGCGGTTAGGGCGGCCTGGCAGGCGGGGGATGGGGACATATGCGGGGAGGCGCGGATGCGAGGGTGGGAGGCAAAGGGGCGGGGGGGGAGAAAGGAGAGGAGAGTCGGAAGGGGGAAAGTGGGGTAGGGGGGCGGCAAGGATGGAAAGGCTTGCATTCCGCCTTCTAACCATCGACTATATATCCCAGCAAGCACCGAGCTCCTTCCCAGCAACCCCCCCCCCCCCCGATGTCCTCTGCCCTCCATAACAATCCCCAATTCGCCAGTCGCCTGCTCACCCGCAACCTGCCCCTCCGCCCTCGCCCCCGCAATCAACCCCAACCCCGATCCCAACCGCCACACAACCCCAACCGCGCCGCGGTCGCTTTCTCTCCCATCCCAAGCCCCAAACCCGCCTTCCCTGCGCCCTCCCGCCTGCTGTCCCGGCACCATTCTGCCCTCCCACCCGCCTTCCCTCCCGCCACTTCCCTTACCTGTTCCGAGCCCGTTATGACCAGAGTTGCCAGTGTGATGGTGTGGCAGTGGTGCACCAGCAGCCAACCGGAGGCGAGCGAGGTGGGGAACACGAACAGGAGGTAGCCCAGCGCGGGGATGCCTGACGAGGGTGAGGGAAGAAGGGACAGGAGGGAGGGACGGGGGGTGAGGGAAGAGGAAACAAAATAAGAGGGGGAGGCCGATGAAGATGAAGAGATGAATGTATGGAGGTGGGGGGAAGAGGAGGGGGAAGGCGTGATAACGAACGAAGAAATCCGCAGCCAAAGGACGGACGGGGGAAGGTAAAAAGCGATGGAAGAGGGTAGGGCGAAGGTTGGGGGTGGAGGCGTCACGGTGCACCCACTAGCATGCGTGCCCTCGACCAGGCAGCTCACGCTTTTTCAAAGCGCGTATACATGTGCGTTTTCATGTGCGTGCGTGCATATCCCCATACTCAGGTATCCTCCAGGGGGGTGAATGCGTGTGTGCGTGCGGCGCCAGGACGCGGCGTGGGTTTGGGGGCGCTGCGCGCACGTGCACAAGAGCGAGCCGTCCGGCAGAGATGGGTGCAGGTGCAAGTGCCGGTGCAGTCGTGGGTGTCAAGGCGGCCGGCAGAGCAGCAGTGGACCCCAAGATTGCGAGGCGCTTGGCTGACAACAGCGGACGATTGGAGGGGGCGGACTTTGGCAACATGCACCGAAGGTCGTCTCTTCCCTTCAGTTTCGGGGGCAACTGAAGGGAAGAGACAAATTGAGATATACCATATAGCTAGATAAGTACTTGGGTAGACGCATAGATACATGTCGTGGGGTAAATTGAAAAGCGCGAAGAAGCGTCTCTTCCCTTGGGTTTCATGATTGGGACGCTGCACCCGGGCGGCAAGCAGGGGCGTGAGCCTGTCCATGTAGCATGTATTTTCGATTCGATTGGCGGAAGGAGTTCCAAGTTCCCCCCACGTCAGCACCCTCCACTGGCCGCAGGTAGGACTTCTATATCCGCTGCCATACCGGTCTGCTGCACGTATTCGCCCCCATGATTTACCCTTCCCTGCCAGCTGAACGTGCGCTTCTATCTAACCTCCACAACAATGCTTTGGTTTTGGGGAGTTTGAAACAAATTACAAGCGATAACGGGCACTTGTAGCCCTATACCCTTTACCCTACTCAGCAGCTTTGATCGAGACAAAGCTTAGCGCGAAGCCGCCTCGCGAAGCAAAGCACATTTGGGGCGGGGAAAAACCCGATCATAATGATTCCCGAAATGATTGCCGTACATCCTCGCTATCAGGAAGTCCCTATCGTATAGTGGTTAGTACATCACGTTGTGGCCGTGAAGACCCCGGCTCGAATCCGGGTAGGGACATTACATCCCTCATCGCTCTACTGTGGCTTATTTTTTCCAGTTGCAGGGAGAAGGGCCAGCCCCACCTGTTCACGCACGCCCCCCTTTTCCCCTTCCCGATCCCTCCCCTGGAAGTTGCGCCCCTGTCAGGGTGCGCACGCAGCCTTCTGGCAGCCGAAGTCACCACAGCGTCTGGTCATCCTGGTCAGTCCTGGTCGTCCTTTGCCTTCCAGCTGAGAGTATTGGCTTTTCGCTTTGGCTTCAGAACGTGCCTGCTGCACGAGTTTCTCTGGGGCTCGGCCCCGGACTCATCGCCGAAACATATATTTGTTGGCGATGGCCGCTGATCCCATGCTACGACAATGCTCACACAGCCTGCCAGTGCAGCTAACCAAGAGGTCTCTTCTCCCGATCTCACACCCGACATCATTACAGCCCAGCCCAGCCCAGCCCAGCCCAGCCCAGCCCAGCCCAGCCCAGCCCAGCCCAGCCCAGCCCAGCCCAGGAGCCCAGCCCAGGAGCCCAGCCCAGCCCAGCCCAGCCCAACCGCTCCCCACTTCCCTCGCCGCTCCCATCCCACTCGGCCCCACTCTCCACACTCCCAACCCCCGCCTCCCTCCCTCCCAAACCCCGGCACCCCCCCCCTCGCCCTTCACGCACCTGGGTACCCCTCCGCCTGCAGCTCCTGGTGCAGCCCCGGCAGCGCCACCGCCACCCGCGCCTGTGTGGCCACCGCACTCAGCAGAGCGCACATGGAGAAGAGGGGCGCCAGGGTGAGGCCCGTGGGGGAGGCCACTACGTGCAGCACCAGCCAGATGCTGTCCGAGTACCACAGGATCTGCCACGAGTGACCTTTGGGGAGGGAGGGGGGGAGGGAGGGGTAGAAAGAAGATAAAAGCCGCGGGGTTACGGGGGCGGGGCGGGAGCGCCAGGCAGGGTTTGCTTCGAGTGCAAAACGTTATCGGAGCCGGATGCAGAAACCAGACCCCTACATTACGGTACCCATGAAGGCGTTGGTGCGTTGGTGGGCTGGACGAGGCGGGGCGGGGCAGAGGGTTGGTGGTGGGGGGGTTGAGCGGGCGCGGGGGTGTGGTCAAGGGGAAGAGGAAAGGGCCCGGTCGATCAGACCAGACTGGCCAGCGGACCAGGTGTCAGGTTGCAGAGTGGGCTTAGGGTAATAGGGAGTAGAAAGACAGGGATCGAAAAGAAATGCCAGTGTGGCGTGGACGGTTTCGATGACGAAGGCGCCGACAGGGAGTGGACACGCAGGGGACAGGGAAAGCACACGGGCTCTGTGCTGCGGATGATGACGAGGGCACATTGGCGGTCAACTGAGTTGGTTACGTCTCCTGGCTCGCCTCGCGACTGCCGCCTCCCTCCTCCTCCACCCACGCGCCACCCCGCACGATATCATGCAAAACGCTCCCGTCGTTGCTCCCATACGCCCCCTTGGCATCCAACCCCGCCTCTTGGTCCTTTCCCCCAGCACACATCTATCCAAGGCAGGGCCTTTGGTCCGTCGTTCCCGAGGCTTCCCATCCCTTCCGTACGCTTCCTGGCATTCCCTGCCGTACGCTC